CCAGGGTGTGGCTACTAGGCGACTTCAATGGGCATGTGGGACGGGAACTCAACAGCATTGCAGTGGGACGGCTTGTAGAGCAAGTTCGAACCAACAACAGCTCATGCGTGTGAATCGGCTGGGTTGTGCCTTGCCAACGCATTTTGTGGTGGTGGTTCAACATGGTGGTCTCCTGACGGTGCAGTCAGTCACACCCTCGACTTCATCGCCATTCCCCAAAACCATGTTTCTCGCATACAGCAGTGTAAGGTCAACAGAGTTTTGGGAAAAAGGTGGCAGCTGTCTCTTGTTAGAGACCGTTGGCCAGTCGAGCTCACAGTTTGCGCCCCCAAGCCGTTGAAATTATTGAGTCCAGCTCCCAGCAATCCTCGTTGGAACAAACATGCTCTACAGGTTGCACTTGAAGACCCATACATTAGCGCTGCCTTTCTTGCAGACACACGGACTGCTTGGGAACCTCTGCATCACAAGTTGGAATCAGCCACCACGACACAATGCGCTCGAGATGCACTGGTCGGTTGGTATGCGTTCACAGCAGCGTTCACAAAAGCTCATGCCAAGCGCGTACGAGCTGCTGCGCAACAAGCGCCAACGCCAACAAGCTCTTCTAGATCACATGGACAAATGGCCCAACATTACTCGACGTTGTGTATATAGTGCATAGGTTCTTTTCCTTGTGGTGTTTGTCGTTGCGATTGCAGAGGGTTTCCATTGCATCAACTCAGCATGAGCCTGGGACCGATGTTTGGAAGCCCGACTTGAACGTGCGTTAAGTTTGCATGACTCGCGGGAAGCTTGGTCAGTGTGTCGACAGCTTGCTGGACAGGACATGGCCCTCACCGCATTGTTGCTCGCACAGCCCCTGCGGCCAAGCGCATTACCGGTAGTGAATGGCAGGAACATTTTAAACAAGTTTGGAATGCTCACCCGCATGTTGGTACAGTAGTTGAGGCGGCTACTCGTCCTTCCATGTTATTCCGTCCAGTAATTGCTGGCCCTCTTAAGTTGCAGACGGCTGCGCGGGCACAGAAGCGTTCTCTTCCAGGCCTTGGCGATGTGTGAAAGATGCCCCGCAGCGTTGCGACGGACAGGAAGCGTTTTGATTTGTCATCTCACTATGCATTGTGCACCTGGGGCAAAGTTTTGGATGATACCGGAACTCACGGTTCAACTTTAGGGGTGAGGGAAACCGTGCCACACAGCAGCTTCGAAACCCATAGAAGCACAGTTGTCAGGGTTGGAGATGTCATGCTCCGGCAAATAAAAGCTCCATGCGCTGTCCTGCCTTAGCAGGCGCCGGGCAGGGCCGGCGGATACTATTCGATGGTCACTAGGATGTGGACCAACGCAGATACCGGACTCAAATGACGGTTTAGTCTAGTTTTTCTCATCAGTCATGATTTTTTGTGTTTCGTGGCTCATGATCAAGTGAGTTGCTTCAGGGTCTGATGGCACGGACTTGCTCTTTGCTGTGACTGAGGAAGATGGATGGCACATATTGCGATGGCCAAGTCGTGAAAACATGCCCAAGCAACCAAGTGCAGAGCGTTTGCCGCGACCAGAGCTGTCAGGCAAGAGGGGGGGGCCGCAATTTGGATAACGTTTGGATCACAAAGGGAATGGTGGTGTTCGCGGTGTGTTGCACGTCGGTGGCTCTAAAGGAGGCCCGCAGTTTTGCGGCTTGCACCTGGATGCGATGGGGATCGAGAGTGCGCCGTATAAAGTCAAGGGTTAGGTCATGAGGGGAGGAAATTCCACACCGAGGGACATTGACAGATCAGTTGTCGAGGATGCTCAGATGCCAGGTGCCAACTAGACTAAAGACTAAAACTCATGCAAGGGTTGCGTGCAGTGCATACTACACAAAAGTGCGTGTTCAGGGAAACGGTTGGAAGGGACATGGTTACCTCAACGGAGGAACGATCTGGTTGGTTTAGATCACATAGTTTCCTGCTTGGCTGCCTACAGTAGTTCTGTCGTGGCAATGTTGCGCATACAGTGCTCAAGAACGATCACGCGGTCCTTTGGCTTCAATCTTCGGATCGGGAGTGGCGCAAAGTTTGCCTCCCCCGGCCGAAAACTGGAATTCAACCCTTCAACCACGAAACCTGGGTGGTGTTGGGTGCTCTACAGGGTGCTGTGCAACTGGGAACCCTGGAAGCCTAGGTGCTCCCAGCCAACCTGCAGGATGCTGTGCAATTAACATTGAACACTGGATGCTATGGGTTTGGGAACCCTTGGCGCTGCCGGGTGCTGTGCGAGGTGCTGTGCAAACACTGGAACCTCGGAACTGGCTGCTTTGGAATGCTATGCTGGGTGCTGTGATGTGCTGTGTAAAATTGAAACCATGGAACCCAGCTGAAATTTGCACATGCACCTGCAATTGTGTGTTGTGTAGTTCTTGTGGCGGAAGACGATAAACGATCACAATGTCTTTCACAGCACATGTCTGAAGATGCGTGGCTTTGCGTGCCATGCTCTGGCAAGTTTTTTGATGCTAGGCAGGTTTTAGCTTACACGGTTGTGTGGGGTTGCAGTCTTTGTCAGTGGACCCGACAGCATGTGAGGAAACAAGTCTGGCAAAACAGCATCTTGCAACTTCATAATCCACTGAGTGGAATCCATTGTATGGTCCTTTTCCCACCCTTTTTTGCTCATGCCGTGCCTTAGTCTTGCTGTTGAATGAAAAGTTTGTCGGGGCCTCAACAACTTGGCCGGCAAAAAATGGATGGGCATCTGGCTTGCAACAACCTGGTTTTGAGTTCCAGCCTCGTAGGGATGTGTGCCAAATTTGCATGAGTAGCAAAGCTTCCCTTCTCATTTAGAACATGGCAAGGGGAAACTGATGAGGCTCGTAGCTGAACCCATGCTCATAAATAGTTTAGCAGTTTAATTAGTGCGGTAGATTCTTTGTGTATTTCAAAAGGATCCTTCACCTGATAGGACGTGACATAGAGGGGTGGCACCGACGTGTCCGCAACAGGAAGGCCTCTCTCGCACAGCCAGTTGCGGAACTGCCAATTTCTGCAGAACCAAGCTCAATGGAAAATACTGCGATGGAGCCTACTTGAAGACCTGTGCCGATGGCAGCCAAACGGACCGGGCCCCCAAAAATGCCATGGACACCTTTTGGAGATGTTGGAGAGTTCCTTTTGACAGTTTTGACTACGCATGCACGTTTTGTTTTGTTTTTGTTTGCTTGTCATTGAACTGCGGGGCTGAAGACGTGACCCTGAATGTCAGTGAGCTGTCCCTGAGTCCATCATCTATTGCGGTGTCTGCAACAGCCGCAGTGTAACCAACGCCGGCTGTGGCACACGAAATTTCTGCATGGCAAAGACGCTTGGAATGCGGCAATGGAAACACGGTCCAAATCTTGCGCCATGATCGTGTGCCGCAACCGGGGCCTAGTGACAGTGATGAACATGCATGCAGTCTCGAGGGACACCTTGAAATCCAGAATTCCCTAGAATTCCTGTTGGCTGTCACCTAGTCCCAGCCTACTTTCAGTCTTGCGGTGCTGTGCTAGGATCTGGTAGTACAAGTCTGTACACCTGTTTTAGTTTTCCGAAGCGCCCGCAAACGGCTAGCTGTGTGTCCTCCAGGTCAACGCAGTACTCGGGACCGCGGCTTTGCCAAGGCTGAGTGGCGATTATTGTGATGGTGATCTCTTCACACGATGTGTGACCTCGTCCGATGAGCCTGTGTCAGTGCAATTCTGCGACGGAGGCCATGTGAGCGCAGCATAGCGCTACTAGCAGATCTTGGGTCACCTTCACTGTATGTAGTATATTAGCAACAGTATGCAACAGTAGCTAATGCCTTCGTTCCACGCGTATTCAGGCATGTTCCTGTGTTCGCGGTGCCCAATCGATTTTACCTCGGCAAAAAAATTGGAAGAATGCTGGAGTTTCTATCTCTGTTTTTTTTCCTCTCTCTCTCTCTGTCTCTTTTTTTTTTTCTCTCTCTCTCTCTCTCTCTGTTCTCCGTCTCTCGTTCTTCAGGCAGATATGTATATATCTATTAATTTCTTTTTAGATATACATAATCGGTGAGTGATATCAATAAGACTTATGCAGGTCAGATGTAACTCCGTGATCAATGCAATAGAAGCAGTTCAGAAAGCTCTTTGTGTTTGCTGGCTGGCAAGCTGATTTGTTGATTTCATGCCAATTTGGAGGCTGTGTGGAGTGGAGACAGGGCGTTGCTGGCTGTGGAAACGCCGACGATGGATTTATTGGTGCCGCAGCCCTCTCAAGAGCAAGCCTTGCTGTGGCACTTTTCATGGCCATGATGGCCATGCTTCTGTGATTGCACATGAGTGCCCCAAGTTCCAAGTTGTTTCTTTCAATGAGCAGAGCACGAGCATGACATGTGTTACAAGTCTCTGCTCGCAGATGCAGTATACAGCTTCGCAAAAGCGAAGGCTGCTGTCCTGGTGACGCTGTAGCAAAAGAAGTTGACCCTTGCAGCTTCTCAATGGAATCAAGCTGAACCCTTCAATCAAGAAGCAAAGTATGCCAAAGGACTCGAAAGGCAAATATATAGTCAAGTGCGGTCCTGGATTTAGGTCTGTGCGTATAGGAAAACCAGCGCCGCTGAATGAAGTCTTGCGTCGTGCGTGTCCCCCCAGCCCCAGATGTCCACCCATTGAAGAAACAAGGTTCATCATTCATGATGGAGGAGGGCCACCGACCATTAGACACTTGACGAAGAGCCTGGTCAACTCTACTCGACACTTCCACATCTTCGCTATATCAAACCTGCGTGTTTAATGCAGTGGCCACTAGAGTCAGGAAGCTACCACAATGCAGGCCTCCTCTCTGCCTGTCTCCCATCCCGAATCCCAAGCCGGCTTCCGCCCATTTGTTGACCCCTGGCACGATTGGACTCCTACACCCTAAAATGACTCATGAATCCTTCTTTCATTAGTTACAATTTGGACCACTTGGGCAGTTGGTGTTTGCTTTTGCGTTTGAGACATTGATGTGCCCTTCAAGGTGCCTTGAAGCTGCGCGTGCAGAACCCGTCCTTTGTGGCGGAGCAGAAGCGAAGAGCAAATCGTCTGGGCCCTGAGATTGACTTCCTTTTGGCGTCAGGATCAATTTGACCCGGTGGTCTTCCTGAGAAGCCCCCCTGTCGTTCTTTTTTCAAGTCTTCGCAGCATCAAGTGGACATTTGCTCTGAACGTCATTCTTTAAAGTCTCTAACAGAGATTAGAGATATCTCAACTGCTCTGAACGCCTGTGTGTGAAAGAAAATTAGGGAGTGCATTTGAGTGCAACCATCTTGTTTGCTTGGAGGCTGGATCCAGGAAACTGCACCAACCCCGGTGGCCAACAATAAGCGGGCAGTCTGGGTCTCAGCTCAGAGCAGTTTGGCAGTTTGGTGATTTGTTTGACGGAAAAGCTCAAGACTTGCAAGAAAACAACGTACAATTGAGCATATAATTGAGCTATGTAGTGCCCCCTCAGGGATCAATCGAACTATTGAAAGGACAGGCATGGACCTTCTGTATTTTCAGGAGATGATCAATTGTGACTGACCAAGTAGGGAGCCATGGTTTACAAGATTGAAGATCAAGCCTGTTCACTGATATGGATGCAGAGATCTCAGCGCCAATATGGCTGTGGGTCAAAACCAGGGGACCTTGGTTGACCACAGAAGACGAAGAGAATGAGCCAATGGACTACCGGGGAGGTCAACTTACCAGAATTTAGGGTTCCAGGTTTTGACGTAGGTGAGGGGGCCCGGGATGGGAGGGCAAGGCCAGAGACTCTTCCCCAATGAGCCTTGAAGCTCCCACCCCCACCCCCTTGCTCTCAGTTTGGTCTTGCTTTCTGTGACTGATTTGCTAAGCTCTGGCTGGTGCTGAAGAAAGATCTGGAGGCCAAACGGCAAAGGTACCAAGCTGCTTTCAGGCGCGCATGTGCAGTATGCCGCGCTCTGGAACCTAGCACTATCACTACCATATGGTCATCATGACTCTGAAACTGAATGAGATTCTAAGAGAACATCCTTCAAATCCAGGCATTTGTTCTTCTTTGCACTGGAGGAACTTTGAAGAGGTTTTGCCGTCCCCACGGTTCCAAAAAGGTTTGGTTCTGCTTGAGTCATGTGGGAATTTGGCCAGCAACCCCCAAGACATCATAGAGCTCAATAGAACATCAGTGTCTTGATTTTTTTGAATCCCATAGCGTAGAGCACTTGCAACTGCCGGAGGAACATGCCCTGCATGTCGCGGCCTTGTTTTGATTTCTGCTTCTTAGCATCATGGACTGGCAAGTCTCTGGTTCCGCAGAGACGCTCTTTCAACACATGAATGTTGCAATCAACGTCCTGCGTTGAATCTCTCAAGATCTCTGAAGGCACAGAGGCCAGGAGCCCCTAATAGCGTCCTTTGCTCCTAGTTGCGATGCCCTTTGTTCCTAGTAGCGTCCTTGTTCCTAGTGGTAAGGCCAGGAGCCCCTAGTAGCTTCTTGTTACTAGTAGTAAGGCCAGGAGCCCCTAGTAGCGTCCTTGCCCCTTTGCAAGAGAGTTGGATCATGAGGCCCTTTGACGTTTGGCTCCTGATGAAGGACGAGGAGTCCATTGCGACGGCAGGCGGTCGCAAGGCCTGTGTGGCTGGAAGCTGGATTCTAGTTTTGGAAGGATCCACGAGGGATCAACCTGTCACACACACAGATGACAACAGTCGAAAGCTGATGAATCGATGAATGACAGTGAACTCTCCTCCGTCGGGTGCCAGCCTTGTCATTGATGGGTTCTAGTCGAGGCTTAGGAACAAGAAACTACTAGTAGCAAGGGCATCGCTACTAGTAACAAGGGCATTACTACTAGGAGCAAGGACGCTACCTAGGAACAACTCTTCCATGTTCTACTTGTGTGCCACCCTCTGAGCTATCGCACCCGCATGAGCTCCAAGTGTCCCTGATCTTGCTGTTTTGGGTGTTCCTCAAAATGCACACAACATGATGCAACATCAACAACCTAGCATGTATACCAGGTAGTTTGCTACTTGCCATGCCATACACACAAGACGGTTGTTCTGTTGCGCAGGTGGAGCCTCCAGAGGTGAAGCAAGAGCGGAAGCACTTCTACCAGAGGCTGCAAGATAAAATTGCCGGACCGCCTTTTTCACATCTCCTCTTCATTTTTAGCGTTAGAGGCTGGACACAAAGACACAAAGCTCAAAAGCAAACTTTTATCAGTCCAAGAAAGCTTGATTTTGCGGTGCACTTCACCACAAGAAATGGTTGATGTTGATGTGGCTTTGAGTTTATGTGTTTGTACCCATGGATAAGGGACAACTCATTCCGTGACGCGCAAGCGGATTGTCAACCCAAGAAGTTCATCTCACTTGAGCTAAGTGAATGTTGAGACTGTGCCATGGTTGATCGGCAGTGTATGCCTGTAATGAAACATTGTGTGGGACACAGCTGATTTTGGCAAGGCTTGGCCTTGAAAGGAGGAAGAGGCTTCTTGCTAGGAGCCCAGCTGATTCGCTTTAGCTCTGCTTTCACTTGTGGTGATCAGAGCCAGAGCTTTTGTTCTTGCTCTGAGAGATGCAACTGTGGCTCATTCTATCCGTCAAATCCCCATCCTCGATCTTAAGCCAATGATGATGTCGAGCTGATGTTGACAGCCGGTGAGTTATGTCAAGCTTTGACCCCGACAGGTTTGCCTAATGATCAACATATGAAGACAAAAGCTCAATTCAGCATGGGACTTGCCAGGGTATCTACATCCGTGAAAGTGTGGAGCTTACTTGTCTTTGCTTGCATGCTTCCAGTTTATTAAAGTGCACACGATATACATCGGCCGTTAACCGTAGCAGACACCCCGATTCTGTATGGCTCCTGGCTACCACATGTCCTATCCACTATCCCCGCAGTCGCGAAAGCATTCCTGTCAGGATTTTGGAGACATTTTTTTCTGGGCAATGCCAGCGCATCTCAAGTGCAGAGTAAGGCACGGAAGTGCCTCTTTAACTGAGCTAAGAAGCAGCAATCCGGTGACCATATTTCATGAATAATTATAGTCTAGGCATTTGGCACGAAGCTTCGCTGCTTCCCGTTTCGATCACGCATGTCGATTGGCATGTGAATTCTACACCAGGACATGATAGCTCATGCTTTGAGGGGGTTTTCCCAATGTTGCTTGGACTAAGCCTCCCTTCGGCCGATCACGATTTGGTGACTCTCATCTCAACGCTCTCTCTACCAAAATTTGTGTTAGCGTAGTCAAGGTCAAGGGCCACTCAGAGGAAATGTGGGAAACGATCGCGCAGATGCCAAAGCTGCTTGTGGAGTTACCTCTTCTGCTCGCCTAGGCCGATACTCTACCTTCCCTCCTTCTCTTGCCCCGCTCCCTCCTGACACGCTTTCAACGTGGTTCTCTGGCCTTTCTCTCTCCCAACAAGCCGACCACCTCGTCCAGTCACTAACCACAGCCGCTTCTGATTGGTTTTCCCGTAAGTCTCCACTCATTCGAAAGCCTTATCTCTCTCCAAAGGAACAATTCCTTACCTCAACACGGTTAATCACTCTTCTGCGGATGTAGCAACGCTCCGTCGTCAAATTCGTGCTCATGCGAGGCGGGAAAAGACGTTGGATTCTCCAGCAACCGGAGGCCGACCATCGCTCTTCTCCTTCCCAGCGCTGGAGAGCCATTCGGAGAGTTTGAAATAAATACCAACCACGCACGCAATCCGTTTGCTGGCCGTCTGGACGCCCCTCCACTGCAGCGAAAAAACTTGAAGTATTAGCTCAACACCTGCGCGATAATGCCTAGAAGCCGCTGGAAGCCAACCCAATGTCCTCCCCCCAGTATGTTTTCTTTGTTTCCAACAATAGATGATGACCCCTATTCTCCCTTCACTTTAACAGAGTTGCATCTGGCGCTCCGCCGGCTTAAGCCTCGCAAAGCGCCCGGGCCCGATTCTGTCAACGCGGAGCTATATATAGTGACGGACTCATACTTAGAACATTTTTTGGAAAAAACATCGAACAGTTAAAAAATGTTAAAAAGCCTGGCCAAAGGGTTCTAAGCATACCATACTTAGAACCTCCAGCAGTTGGAGGGGCATACTTAGAACCCCGAGCAGTTGGAAAAGTGCCTGCAATGGAAGGGGGTTCTTAGTGTGGCACTTAGAACCACAAGAATCGCGAAAGGCATGGGAGATCCCTCTTTCTCTCTCTCCCTCTCTCTCTCTCTACATATATATATATATATTAGCTCAGGCGCTTTGGGTGGAGGTAAACTAGGAGTGTTTTATTTACAGGATTTTAAATGACTCAAGCAAAACACAAGGCATGGTAGATCCCTATATAGGCAGTGGTGCTGATACTCCTGTTTGCGTTATATATATATATGTATATACGGACTCATACTTATGAACCTGGCATTTTTTTAGGGGTTCTAAGTATTCTTGGCCTGCAATTCTTGGATGGTTCTAAGTATTCACATGAAAAATCAGGGTGTCTAAGTGTGTGTCCGTCACTATAAACTCTTGCCATTTGGGTTGCGGTGCCTCCTCCTGGAGTATTTCCATTCTTGCCTCCTGCCCGGGTGGTGATGCTCTTCAAGGAGGTGCTATGGGCAGTCGACAGCCCTCCTCTTACCGTCCCATCAGCCTTGCTAACGTTATTTACAAGTTGTATTCTGCCCTTCTACAAACCCGCCTTGCAAAGCACTTCGATTGGCGCATCAGTGAATTTCAGTGTGGCTTTCGTAAAAACGTTCCACTGCCAACCCCCTCTTTCTCATTCGCCGTATGGTTGAACTGTTTGAGAGGCACGCCGCCTCACTTTACGTTTTTGTTGTCTCAGGCCTTCGATTGTATGAGCCATGCTCATCTCACTGCCTCCCTTGTCCGTATCGGTCTCCCATTGCCCATTGGTGCATGCTACCTCTGCGCCGTACTCAAATGGCAAGTTCTATGTAACAGTCTCTTCCTATTCCTCTTCAAACTATTCCCTCTCGCGAGGTATCCGTCAAGGCTGCCCCTTGAGCCTGTATCTCTTCATTCTTGTTCCGTCTGCGCTTATGCACGACGTCCATACCACTTTTGCATCCCTCCGTTATATTTTCACGCCATCTCCACCCATACCCCGCTCTCCGATATCGAATATGCAGACGATACCATCCTCATTGCTCGTACCCAACTCACTTTGCATCGCCTCCTGCGCACTCTCCAACATGAGGCATGCAAACGGGGGCTTTTGCTTAACCCGGAGGAGTGCAAACTTCTTCAAATTCATACCAGTCTTCAAATACATCTCTTGCCCGAGGTGGACCCCTGTCCTTGCCAACATTGCACTGACTGGCGCCGCAGCACTTGGCGCCCCTTTCTGTGTTTTGAATATGGCGAAATAGCTGGGGGCTCGTATATCCAGCGACGCGTCTTTGTCTGCCGATTGCAACTCCCGATGCTCCTAACCTTCTGGCGCGATTAGCTCCCTCTTTCCAGTTTTTACTAACCCCACCATCCCGATTAGACGTCGGCTTGATGTGTACTCCCAAATAGTGCTCGCAATTCTACTGTGCCGGTGTGAGTCCGCAAGTCTATACTCCTGCGCAAAACGTCGAATTCAACTCCCCTCACTACAGGGTTCTCCGACAAATTTTTGGCATTAAAGGTTCGTATTATCATGGGGTTCTCCGTCCCTGGCCGGCCTCAAATGACTACCTCCTTTCAATTGCCTTCCGGCGTGCCCCTCGTCTCCTCATCCCTGGTCAACGCATTTCAGTCCAGCGACTCCGGTACCTAGGCCACATCCTCAGACATTTCGATTGCGTAGAACATAAAATTGTTTTTCGCCCTGCACTTCCACTTTTTGTGCCGCCTCCCCTCTCCTATTCGAGCTGGTAGACCCCGAACCCACTGGCCCGAAATTGCTTTGGCCGAAGCATGCCACCGTGGCCTCCAACTACAACAGCACCCGCGCCCCTCCACTCAAGACGTTCGCCATCCAACTTGGTACAACCGCTACAGTGTAGCACTATTTTGGCCCCTCCCTTTCTGACTGGTATGGTACTACTGGTACTACCCGAATTTATCGCGCTCTCCACCCTATCGCAGAGGAATGTATCATTTGGGATCAAATAGTTTTCCCAGGAAAATAGGATTGTCTTCACTTGAGCACTGCTGACGTGTAGTCCATTCGCATTGGCCATGGACTGCATTTCGCTTTTGTTTTTTAACGGAGTGTTCGTGTGAGCATGGCTGTGTGCTGACGCACAAGCCGACACAGTCATAATTCCACAAACGTTCGCAATTTGTATGCGTGACCAAGGCACACTTGATGAACCAGAGGTCTGGGCATTCTGTCGCTTTTGAGTATCCATGAAAGGCATGTTTAATGGACCTTTCAAACGTCATGCTTTGTCGGTGTATCCCTCTTGCTCTTGTATCCCAAAGATTTGCAAGAGCAGGTCGCTTGGCACTGCGCCCGATCAATCAAAATATCTCCACGAAGAGTCAGCTCTTCCGAGTTACACCGTTCCACTGGACAAAGATGTCCTGCTAGATTTTGCCGGAACTACAGTTTCAGAAAGCAGTTCTACGCACCCAGGGCACTGATTTGCCAGGATCCGGCCGAGACAACGAGCTTCAGGTGCTTTGGGGAAACGAACACTAGTGATGAGTCTGCGCATTTTGTCACCGGCAAAGGAATGTTATAAGTTATACGTGTATACATATAATATATATATACACACACGCACACACTCATATTTGCGCATTGGACTTGGAAGGCTTGGGTTTGCGCGTTGCATTTGTTATACATTAAAAAAGTACTAGGTACTTCGTATGACATTGTTGCTCAAGGAGGCATTGATCCAAAACTGCCGCTTTTCGTTGGGAGTTGACCCGATCTGTTGAGAGTTGACCCAATTTCGCAGAAGTGGACCGTGCATTGAACGGGTCTCTCCAATCTTACTTAGGCCATCGATCGTCAGACAATGAACATGTCAAGCGCAAGAATGAAGCATGCCAGTGCATGCTGAGCCAATTGCAATTGGTGGCAGAGACGAGTATAAGTATAAGGTTGATGAGTTCGTGAGCGCTTGGGTTGATGTAGCTTGCGACCAATATCCAGCTGAGTGGAAGCTAGCAAGAAGTCTGGCGTCTTTCACCAGGAGGTGGAGTATATGCAGTGTACTCTGCAGTAAGCTCTATATTGAAGCTCCTTCTTCCGCAGCTTCCAGCTGCCGTTCATCGAGGATCTTATCGTTGGCATCATTATGGCTTCTTGATTTGGCCACAAGCAACCAAAGATGCGCAACACGATACGGTCGCTATTCGGCCTGCATGGTCTGGCATGTGCCAGGGTTTGGAAGCAGCGCAGCTCATGTCACAAGGCAGGCGCCGGCGGGCAACTAATATCATTTGGAAGGCCACAGGGCTCGAACCCTCAGATGCAACCGCCGGATCAGAGGCAACAGGTAACAGGATTCCATTTGAAGTGCTGATTCGAGTCCTTCTTTGCGCAAAGAATATGGCGGAAGTGGTCTATGACGATGTACGAAGCCATGGCGAACCTCTTTCTCTCAGCTTGTGCTGTCGATGGTTCTGGTCGCCTTGGTCTCGTGGCCAGGCGTGTTCAGCGGGAGCAAAAGGGGTCTGGTTCATTGACAACGTTGCTAGTTTGATGGTGCAGTCAGGGTGAGTTGCTTGCGTGCTTACGTATCTCATTGTTGCAATTCTCTTCCGAAGCCTTGCCGCGCTGTATTGGGAAAGGGTGCTTTGCGGACCCGTGGAGCCGTACTCACTCCTTTCATCGATTTTCAGTTCCACTGCTGATTCTTCGATTGCCCTCCCCTTTGCAACGCAGGTCGACAGATTCCATCAGTGCTTTGAGGAGTGGGTTGGGGTAACGGCTAATTATCAAGGGTTGGCCTGGCAGCTGAAACCTGCATAACGGGGAGCTGCGAAGGCCCAGACTTCATTTCTATTCTGACATCTTTTCTCAAGGAGAAGTGGAAACGGATGACACTCCATCCAGTGCCTGGTCTCCTCGACTGTGCCGGTTTGGCTGGGCCTAACATGGGCCTACGCTGTGAAGTTCAGGGGTAGCAGCTGTCCAGGTTGAATCTTGACTGACACGCTGAGGTTCTATCAAGGCATTATCCACAGTGACAGGTTGGGCCTGTAGTGCACAGACAGACACACAGCAAAAGGAAAAAGCGGCTGCTGCTGTGAGACTCCTCTTCTTTGCTTTGGGATGAGTTTTTTGTGCTTGAATAAAGACAAACTGTGAAGGGACCAGTCTTGATACTCACAAAACTTTTCTTGAACTTGCCACCGCAGCCCAGCAGGCCGAGCATCTCCATCAGAAAGTGAACTTGGACCTTCGAATGTGGGGTTCGAGAAGGAGATTCGGCGAACATATCAGCATGGCGTCTTGAATCCAAACTACTATCGGCAACAGACCAAAATATCCGAACAAACTGGGTAGTGTACTAGGCAGCTCCAAGCAACTTGACGTTGTAAATATGACTTGGCATCATTTGGTGATTACAGTCGCACCTTTTTTCTTGGTCCTGTTCCCTAAAGTTCGTGTTTTAATAAGCCTCACATGGCATGGGTCTCCAAACAATGGAGAGCCCCTCCATGGCAAAACACTGGAAGGGAAAAAGGAGAGAACTGCGTTTGTGGTGAAACCTGATGTCCCAACTTGCCACTCGACCAATCAATCAACCAATCAATCAACCAATCAATCAACCAATCTACTGCAACAAGGGGCCCAACATGAAATAAACATACATAAAATGCGAAACATGTCATGTTTTTTTTGGGTTCTTGCATCCGCTCTTAGAATCTCCAAGGCCGGTACAGTGCTTGACGCGTGAAATGCTGTGTGTTCCCTTCACGTTGGAATTCCAAGTCGCCAGCCAACCTCTGGCCTCTGCAGCTGTTTGGCTACTGACTTGCAACACCCAAATGACACATATTTCGTTTCCGCTGCCACATGTGTGTCACTGTAAGGTCCAAGGAGGACTTGTTAAGAAGGGAGTGTCAAAGAGTCAAGACATCATGCCGGTATGATAAAAAATTGCCTTTGTTGCTGAGATTTGTTTGAAGGGGGGCAAGGAGAGGTTTGACAGTTCTTACAAAAAGGCTGAGCACACGACACGAACCTCCATTTTTGAGAGTCTCTTCTACTTGTTTATATTGTACCGTACCAACTTGTTGTTAGGTGATTTATATGACTTGAGTCAGCATGGCTACGCCCTACAATCAGCGAACTCAAGCTAATGCATCGCATGCATCGCATGTGATGGATCTTCCTCATGAGTGGGTCTTGGGCAGATGGGGAAATGACAGGCGAGGCAGACTGCTGGAAAGGAACAACTTAACTTGTTGCACCGACAATTGACAAGTAAAGTCGAACATCCTTACAAAAAAATTGCACGACTACTCGGTATTCATGAAACTTCCTTTGTTTGCAACGATTGTCATGGCTTTCAGGAGTTGGGAAGCTGCACACTGGAACCTGGGTGTCCCGCTGCAGGTTGGGTGTGACAACAAAACGCCCGCAGTGGAACTTTACCTCAGCTGTGGTTCGCTACAGAAGAGCAAAAGTGGACAGGTTTCCTCATGCAAACAGGTTGAATGATTGTGCCCTTTCAAGTTGGTTGGGCCCCTGGCCTAAAGGAGGATAGCGTTTTGAAGAACTGATTTGCAGGAGATTCCGGGCTGCAAGTGCTCTGGCCAATGGGTTGACTTCCAGCACAGACTGAACTTCACACTGGCGCACGCACAGGAGACAAATGGAAGGCTCCAACAAAGGGGTCACTGGATTCTATTTTTACGGCAAGGCAGAGCCAAACACAACCAAGCAGCCAGTGATTTGGAGTTGCCAGGGCCATGCAGCACTCGGTGTTAAAACAAGAGGGTACCCACCAGCACCTCCTCTTGAAGGCATTCTGCTAGGGAGGTCTCACTGTGGTTCACCTCCTTAGTGAAAAACTTATATATTTATATACAATATATAATATATATATATGTTATGGCCTCAAGTACAGACACCTGCATGCGGAGCGAGCACTTCCAATCCCCTGCAAAAGATCAATGTCACCCACTTGATGCCCCAGCTCTACAAGGAGTCCGCTGGGCCTTTAGCATCCTATTCCCTTTCTGGCTTGGGTTTCTGCCAGCGAGTGGCCCAGCCTATGATCCGCTCGGTGTTTCCTGACCTGCGGACCAGCGCTTCGAGGCAGAGTTGGGATCAAGCGGGTAAATCCGTGCAGATGCACAATTTAGGGAGGCCATCGCTACTAGGTTGGACGCCATCGCTAGGAGGTTGGATGCCATCGCTAGTAATTAGGTTGGAGGCCATCGCTAGTAGGTTGGAGGTCACCGCTATTGTATAGTTAGAGTTAGGACTTAGGACCATGACCTCTGACATGCGAGACTTTTGATTTAATTTCTTATGTTTGCATGAGTGGAGCATCACCTTTACGCCATCAACTGCACCCATCGATCCCTGTTCTTCTACTTTCGTCTGGAGTTTGTTAATTTGATTTCCAAGCCCCTTCAACTATGCTGGATTGCCCTTGCCTTGCTGCAAAGGCCACTTTGTTGTGGGTGATAGAGACCACGGAGCGATTTTTTCCCAACAGAACATTCATGTCGCTTCACTGGTTCTTCGTGAATATTTTCGATACGCACAACTTTTGCTCATTTGCTCATGGAGTGTTTGCAGGTGGGAGGAGAGCACCTCCACAGGTGATGAAAGTTGGTTGGACTTTGGACGCCATTGGTGCCCAGCTGGTTTGCTGAGCGCTTTGATCGTTGCTTGGTCTGAGGGATGTGTGGTGAGGGTGCTTCTGTCTTTGTCCCAGGTGCTGGGGGTGTTAGCATGTCGAGGTCTTTGATTTGCATCAATTCCTTGCCCTCAAGCCTTTCATATACGTATAGTTGCTAGCTTCAAGAAGACAACGACAACCTCAGGAACACTGGCAAACATCTCTGAGGTTTGTGCGGCTGCACATGCACACAGTGCTCGGGTTGCACTTGGCGAGGACGAGGAGAAGGATCCAGGATGGAACGTTGATTGGCCCCGGGCACTTGGATCTTGGCCTGAGCCCAAGAGTGTGTTTGGTGAGAGTTCGGGCAGGGCTATTGATTCGATCTGATAGTGAACATGAATTTGATTGCCAGAGAATGCATGATGAATTCTACACCAGATAGCCACTCCCCAGCCCAGTGAGTCAAGATGAACCATGTTGATCATGGAAGAATACTTTAACGCTCAGAATATGGATGGTGCCTGGCTGGCGTGTGGTTGGTCGGTCGGTCCGTTATCTATATTTTTTCTAGAGAGAGAGAGAGAGAGTTCTATTCTTCTTTTGTCACTGAAACCACCACTGCTTCCTGGCCGACTGGCGCCGCTTTGAAGCTCAAGCAAATCCCCTGAAGTTCGCGCCTCGCTCATTCAGTAATTCTGCCGGGAACTTAGGAGGACACTGGAAGAAACCAAGTTGTGTTGAGGTTCCAAGAGCAGTGAACATAGTATACATTCTGCCAACACCGGAATTGTTTAACCCTCCTCAGACCACATCGACCCTGAGACACACACACACTCAAATGTACGATTTGAGATGCGAGTGTTGTGAAGTTAGCACAGCGTACGACAAGACAGAGGATGAATAGCTTTTTACGTCGTTTTGCTCTTTTTATGCTCTCTTGTTTTGATTTCTGTACTTTTAGTAAACTGATTAGCACTGGTTAGCCCTCAAGTGGCATTTTCTGTCCTCAGGGCTAGTTCTGTGCAATGTTGCGGGAGCTCTTTGCTGAGTCCCTCGGCACAGACTGTCCAGACGCCGCTTCAAATCACTTGTGATTTTTGTTACCAAACCTTTGCCGGAAATGTTCTTGGCTTGAACTTCAAGCCAAGCAAGTGTCCAGGCATGGAATGCAGGAGGCCAGAGCTTAATAGAATCACCTCGGTTGATGTAGCTGTAGCTTCTTGAGAGGCGTCACAGAGCAGCGTGGGCTCCAAGCGAGCAGGGCGCGCAGGTGTGGGAGGGATTCAATTCCACGTTTAGCGCAAATGATCACAGGAGTTTTGATGTGATATGTCTTGATGCTTTCTTGGAGTTCGTGGAGTTGCCAGGACCAGCTGCGCGACAATTGTTTCCCAATCTGCCCAATGACTTGGAGCTCTTGCGGAGTTCAGGCCCGGCCTAGGCCTTCTATATAATAGTCACCCTTTGTTGCCCTTTTCTCGGTAACTTTTTGCGCCAGTTGAGAAGCCACCGGAGGAGGCTGGTTCTTGCAGTTGGAGCTTGGAAAGAGATGCTACAGTGAACTGTACTGGACCGATTCAATCCAATTTCATGACCGCTCTTGGCAGGTGTCGGGCGAGCTGGGACGTGACGTTGAGATGGGACCGTCCGTTTCGCTCCTTGTCGTGGATGGACTCGAGTGGGACCGTTCTTTTTTTGAGCCGTGGCCCTGCCTCCTTAATCAAGTAGGCACATATATATATATATATATACTTAATTAAGGAAGAAGTAAGCTACTTGCAATAATTAGGAGGATAGCTCACGCTTCTTTAAGGAGGCTGCTTCCTTGAAAAAGCGCACGCACTAATGATTTGGTTCCTAGATTTTTGGGGAAACTAAGCCGACTGTGAATACTTTGCTCAGTCCACCACCGGCCTAGGCTTGCACGCTGAGGGATGGGATCCTTGAACGGAACCGAACACTTGCCTGCCTGTTGGTCATGTTCAAGGAGGGCTCTGAAGGTAGCTAGCAGCTAGATGACAAATTTATATTTAGTCTTCCAAGAGAGTGAGTGTGGTGGTGGGGTTGCCCAATCGACTTTGAGGGCAACGTGGCCAGCGTGCTACTCAGGCTACAGAGCGGACAGAGGTCAGCCTGTGCGGATCGTTGCCCGAACTTGGTCGGCTGGGGCGAAACGCATCCATCATCATTGATCATTGATAGCCTTTATTTATCGATATTTATTCCCTTTTCAATCTTTTTCAGAATTTGTTTTGATGTCACCAAGTTGAAGGCAGACTGGCAGAGACTTGCAGGGCGGGTGTGTGTATGCCTGGTGAAGCCGTTGGCTCATTGAAAGAACTAGTTGCGGTCTAGAGTCTTCAGCATTTAGTATATAGGTTTGTTGCAACGGAGCCAAGGCCTGCAGCAGTTGTGCAGATTTGTTGGATCGAGCTGGAAGATTGAAAGGATATTGGGCTAATTGGGGGCAGCTGGGTTTCAGTATCCGCATTGCCGGGCCCATGTGCTCGTCAGCGCTGTGTCGATGTCCACTGTGGTGCGAGAGGCAGGTACATCTAGAATCTGGATGAATCTGGCAGTTCTTTGAAGGAGCGGGCTTCTTGCTCCAAAATTATTTGTACATTCTGATTGCATATATATATATATGTTCCAATTCCTGAACCTTGTGGAGTCCTGGGTTAGACTCGGTTAGACATAAGACTTCAACGGCCCCGTCAAAGTTGGAGGCTCGTGCCGCGCTGGGCTCTCCAGAGATTCTACGGCGCTTCCGCAGCGGTTCGGCCCCACGGCGGGTCCAGCTGGAGCCCTTGGAGGCAGAGAGCCCGCGCAGAGGCACGACTGACGTGCCTGGTAACCTCTTCTAGGGCGGATGATGTCAATGATGTGCTTGCAATTTGCATTAATTTAGAGGTAAAGGATAGGTAAAGGGGTGTGTCGACAGACGCTCAAGACTTTGTTTGGCCAACCAAGATTCGTTGAGGTGTCAAGGGCCATGGCCCAAGACCACCACGAGCACCGCGTGGTAGTTCTCAACCTCCCAGAAGACCCAGGACATTTGGCATATTTGGCTTCTAAGTAGTGACTGGCCAGAGGCGGACTAGCCAACGCTGCACAAGGACCCCAGAGAGTGCTCCTGAGCGACAGCTTTGGCAGGAAGATAGAGAGGCCTGAATTGAATTGAAGGTCTCCGCAGACATGGACAGTCATCTACCACAAGCAAGAACATTGACAAGTGACAGTAAAACACCATGAATGTACACAGGCTGCTCACAGTCGTTCAACCTGCAAACATGTTCAAAGGTCGGCGTCTTGCTTTCAAGGTACTGGTATAGCAGGCAGTAAAGCTCTAGTTGGCTATCCCGGACTATCCTTCTTTGAACCATCCAGACAGTCTAGCTTTCAGGCAGCGGCCATGCTGGAAGAGCTAGATGACTTCAGCCAGAGCTTGGACGAGCAAAACTCACTTCTTACAGGCAAAAGTGTTGGGAAGTTTCTGGGCATTTGAACTGGTGCTTTTCAACATGAGAGAGGGGTAATTGTTGGATGGTGTTGAGCTGCGAGACCCTGAGCTCGTAGGAATAATTTGAAAGAAACGTGGGGCCCATGATAAGAATGGTCCCCAATAATTAGCAAGAATGGGCGCACGTGGAATAGACGAATGCGAGGCGGCGACTCGGAGACTTGGGTATATTCATAAGACGGCATTCTAATGCATTCTTTTCTTCTGTGAACTATTCGCAATTTGTTGGCGGTTTCATGCTGCTTCGAGACGCCGTCGAAAACCTCTGTACAATGGAATCCAAGCTGTGAGGCTTAGCCAACCGCAAGGCCGAGCTGCAGAATCTTTTGGCGGAGTCCCGCCAGCAGGCTGGCTGGCCCCAAGAAAGGGGAAGTCTGGTATGGGGCAGCTAGCAGCCCCACTCTAAGGGTGGGAAGGCCAAGGAACACTTCTGAAGGGGGAGATTGGGGTCATTCCTAAGATTTCTATCCAGATGAGCCTATATCTGTGCAGCGAGTGCACAGTAATCTTAGAATCTTGAGTGCAGCAGGCAGACGGCATCCAAACAATCTGCACACCTACCGTGCAATGTGCGAAACTGTATCGACACCCGAAGGCCCAAGAGCTGAGCCAAGCCCTGGCTTCCCTTGAGGTGCGTGAGGAGTGCAGGGAAAAGATTGGAAAACCATCGCGTTTTAAACCATGACTGATCGTGGCTCATGACAGAGTCTATGGCTAGGAAATGTATCTGCACAAAACCTGTTTTCATTTTCTACCCAATTCCGCTCGTGAACACTGACAGGAAATCTCTCGGCTTGACTCCACCTGTCACTCTGCGAAGGACAGCGGCAAGGACGAGTTGCAAGCGCAGCAGGCAGGGTCTGTGAATTTTACAGCCAAGAAGAGGCTAACTTCTGCTAACTTTTGACGCCTTGCAGGCACTTGTCTTTCCTTGAACGGCTCGTGAACGTTCTGCTCCAGGCAAGACATCGACAGTCCAGCACTGCACGATCGTCAAGAGCAGCACTTGTTCGGCAGCTCTTCACTGATTTTTGACAACATCTGACAACATTGTTTATTTATTCATGTTTTTTCCTTGTGCATGTGTTAATAGTATTTTTTTGTGAAGGTGCGCGGTGCGCGTCCCTTCGACCTCCAAGCCGCACAAGCCTTCGCGAAGCTCAACCAATGTCAGTTGTGCAAGGGTAAAGAAAGAACGCGCTGACTTGACTTGATGCAAATGAATTTCAACCGCCTTTTGATTGAGATTTGGATGCATTTGGTATTGTTGGAACCTGGTGGTTGCGCCGTGCCAGTGTGCTGTCTCCGAAGACGTCCCAAGAGGAAAGGCAGGAGCCGAATGGAGCCGATGTGGCGAAATAGAGCGTTGTGGCTTCGAATAGACAGAATTAGCATGAACAAGCTACTTCACAAGCCATACATAGTTGCTCATACATAGTACATCATAGTACCAGTTTACATAGTTACCAGCATGAGGATGCATGAGGTGCCCTACCAGTTGGTCACACCACCATGATCTTGGGCCGCAAATCTCTTCACACCAGCCGTGACAGGGATTCCTTGAGCCAAAGCAAGGCGAGTGGGGAGTGAAGCCAATGCGCATTTTGAGGCCATGTGCAAGCCAAGAAATGACACCCTGTCCAAAGTCCTGTGGCAGCTATGGTTTGGTGGGGTTGAGCATGGCAACTCTCTGTACTTTGCCAAGGATGCTTGTGGCACTTGTGCGGCTTGTGTCAGTGATGCTTCCTCTACACGTGCCTCTTACTCCAGAGTGGAAGCCCTGAAGCCTTTGGCTGGGGAATGTATTAG